ACATAGATGTCGGTAGACGTGCTACGGGATCCTCTTAAGGTATAAGAAATGCTTTCATGCATAACTTCTACACCGTAAACAGATAAGCAAAAATGCCTGGACGAAATACAAATAATTGCAAATAAAAATTAAAAATTTCCGGTCAAGTGTGGGCGAATCGAACTTAAGCGTTTGAAACATACATGTAGATTTAATATACATATAACATTTAAAACATAGATATATTATAAATGTCAGCTCTGTATGGGTGCGTTCTTTTAGGCATCGGATTTGGCAACCGCTGCGCATCGGATTTGCCGGCTGACGGAAATCTGCGGTGCAGTCGACTGCGCAGTCGGGCTAAAAGAATGAATTACTGCAAAAACTGCTGTATCCGATGCCTAAAAGAACGCACGGTATGCGATGCGGACTGCGTTTAGCTTTTTTTACTCGACGCGGGAATTCAAAAATCTATCACGTGACCAGGTTTGGATTCGAGCGTCAGCATGAAATCTGACCTTTATGTGTAAAGTTTAGCGAAAAAAGAGAACAGACCCAAGGCGAGGAGGTGGTAATTTCCGGGCGCGAAGTTGGTAGCCCGTTGTGACGCAAGCCTATCGTATTGTCCGGATCGCGGTGGTGACTTTCGGCCGTCCTCAGGTCCTCCGTCTCATTTCACTTTGCGTTACCGGTAAGGAGAGTCGTGGGTCTCGTGGTAATGGGGCGATAATTCCGCTCCACGTTTAATTTAATTAGATCTCGTGGCCCGAGGTACGTCGCGCTCGCTCCTCGTAACCGACGTTGTACTGTTTCAGGCAAATCACCGTTAAGCTGGCTACGTAATACGCGTTTGTTACTTGGCCGGATTTCTTTATTACGGTAGAGTAAGTAGCAACTTGAAATTGTCTGTCTCGCTGTCCCCCGTGCTGTGCGTGTGCCTCCCTTCCTGCCTATCCTCCTTTCCCGGCACCGCGTGGCAGCCGTCGCGAGCCCTCGCCCTCGCCCTCGGCTACCGCGCCGCGAGTGCCCTGTCCCGTCCTTCCTCCGTGCTCTTCCATATTCTCTCGTCGCGACAACGTGTAGATGTTGGCCCCGACGCGAGAGGTTAGCGATCTCGTGACGTGTCAAGTTAACGCGCTCCATTCCATATGGTGGTCACTGTCTCAGCCATTGGTCATTGACGTGCACTTAGCCCGCATCTGTTTGTCGATCCCCGGTCACGACGCTCCCCCGAGCCGCCCAATTCCGTCGGCTTTGGGAAAAAAATGTCATCTTGGCGGTTACGCGCGCGCCTCGTCCCTCTCCGCGGCGGTCCGGAGCCGTCACGCTGTACGGAAGACCTTTTCTGCACCGAAAAAAATCGAAAAGTAAAAAAAAAACGGTATTGCGAAATCACGTCGCGATTCGATCGGCCTCGGCGAGAATGCTCGGACCCATCCGTTCGCGATTATTCGGGTTATCCGGGAGAAAATTTATCTTCGATACAACTATCGACTTGTCGCGCCAATGATAATTAATCTCTTTCTCGCTCGTCGCAAAGTTACGGCTAATTTCAAGCACCGCGCGAGACACGTATAACAATCCAACATTTTTATGAAATTAATTAACTTTTGTGCAGCCGCTCGCGCGATTTGCACGCATAATGTACGTCCATGTGTGTAAATGTTGTTCGCGTGCACATATGCGTGTAAAATAACATATGTACATTAAAATATGAATATGTACGAGCTTTGTTGCATTTGTCAATGTTTGTGCTATTAACGACATTTTATTATTGATTTTTAGTAACGATTAAAGATATTAATTATTGCATTTTGTATATACACAATATATATATATGTTTATAAAGATGCCAAAGAGATGGAATATCTTTGATTTGCATTGTAGTGCTACTGTAAGGACTTGGCACGAAACAGGACATCCGAGAAATGCAGCAGCAATCAGTAATGGAAGAGGGAACGGCCTACGAGCCACCTACTTACGATGAGACATTCCCCGTCCTCCCTGAATCATCTAGTTCCAACTCTGGACAATTAAACATATTTTCTATAAACAACAGCTTACATCTTGGTCGTATTACTATTACACAGGTAAAGATCCGTAAAAGTTTATCCATTTCGCAAGACTCCTGTTTGATTTACAGGATTTTACAATTGTTCCTTGACACAATAATTGAAAGTATACGCATGGACCTGTAGCTCTTTACGAAGAAATGTTGGAAACATTTACAAGAATTGTATCTTACTGTGTGCCAAAAAATTGCTTCAAAGGCACTTATTCCTTTACCCATGTTTTTCTATCGCCATGTAGATGTTCCGCGTACCAGGGGAAGAACGCAAGTTTGATCACAGTGATAAATTTGGCGAACGCGAATCTATTCGTACATGTAAGACTATCATGAAAGAAACGAATACTATTATTGAAATTGCGTCATCCAAGGATCAGTCCCTAACGTTTCTTATAACTGGAAAGCAAAATCAGGTTCTGGAAGCCAAACGGCGCATCTTGACAACTTTTCAAACTCAGGTATTCCTACATAAGAGAAATAGTGTACGTAGTATAAACCTACAACTTATTTGACATCTATTTATATTTTGTACAAATTTTGTTTATAAAGTGTAATATATTTTAAATATTAACATTATTTATTACCGTTTGCATCCGAAAATAAATTAGTGTAAATTTCTACTATTAATTTCTTTACAGGCAAGTAAGCAGATTAGTATCCCCAAGGATCATCATCGTTGGATTCTTGGAAAGCAAGGGCAGAGACTGAAAGATCTAGAGCAGAAAACTGCTACGAAGATTAATGTACCTGGCGTGCAAGATCAGTCAGATATAATAACAATTACGGGTACAAAGGAAGGAATTGAAAAGGCCGAACACGAAATTAGAGTTATTTCCGATGAACAGGTAAGTTTTTAAAAATAATTTCAACAATAAATTACATTGATACACGTATGTCTTACAACAATATTTTGTTCATAAATGTTGCAGTCTAGGAAAGCTTTTGAAAGAATAAATGTGCCAAAAATATATCATCCATTTATATATGGTGCATACAACGAAAATCTCAATGCTATGATGGCAGAAACTGGTGCTCGCATCAATATTCCTCCTGCATCGGTGCAGCAGGATGAAATAACTATAGCTGGCGAAAAGGAAGGAGTCTTGGCTGCAAAGCAAAAGATTGAGATTATTTACAAGGACATGGTAGGTTAATACAACTATTTTTTTCTAATTTCAATAGCAAGCGTATGTAATATCTATAAATTTTTTATCCAGGAAAAGAGATGTACTACGGTGTCTGTAGAAGTTCCCAAATCTCAACACAAGTATGTAATTGGCCCTCGTGGTAGCACCATAGCAGAAATATTACAAACAACTGGAGTAAGCGTAGAAATGCCTGCACCTGATTCTGCAACTGGTACCATAACTCTTAGAGGATCACAAGAGAAGCTTGGTCAAGGTAAGCGACTTCAAAATTAAATGTTACTAATTATATTTTTCAAGCATTATATCTTTGGGTAATATTAATTACTATATGTTTATTTGAACAGCACTTAACAAGGTGTATGAGAAAGCAAACAGTGTTCGCACTGCTGTGGTGGAAGCTCCGGTATGGATACATAAATACATTATTGGACGCAAAGGTGTAAATATCAAGAAAATTACCCAAGAAATGCCAAAAGTGAACGTAGAGTTTACGGGAAAAGAAGATAAAATCAAGATAGAGGGTCCACCTGAAGAAGTAGAGAAAGCGCAAAATGAGTTACAGCTTATGGCCAATGATCTTATAGCAAAACTTACTTTCACAGAATTGAATGTTGATCCACGATTTTACAAGCATATCATTGGGAAGAATGGTTGTAATGGTAAGCAGTTTAATACACGCAATTATTTCCAATCTAGATATAACAGAGAAAAGGATGTTTAGTCTAAATTTATTCTGTTTTTATTAAAGTGAACCGTGTCAAGGAAGGGACGGGTGTAGTGATTAGTATCTCTGAAACTGATGGCAGTAACGTTATTCGTATTGAGGGCAATTTTGCTGGGGTATTAAAAGCTCAAACGGTATGTATTACATTTTTACCTAGCAGCAAGCATTCTTTAAATAAGTGCAAAAAAAATTAATGCTTTTATCTTGTAAATAATATAGGAACTCGTGGAAATGGTGAAGAAGTTAGAAAATGAAAAAGAAAAGGATGTGATTATAGATCACAGATACTATCGCAACATAATTGGTAATAAAGGAGATAATATCAAAGAGATTAGAGATAAATTTAATCAAGTACAAATTACTATTCCTGGACCAGGTAAACGACATTTATTATTACATTCTGTGTTATACCTCGCAATATTGTAATGAAGAATTTGTAATAAAGTTGTAATGTTGTCTACGTTTCTTATCAGCTAATCAATATTTTTCAGGCGATAAAGGAGATATAGTGAAGATCAGAGGACCCAAAGAAGACGTTGACAAGTGCCATAAACATCTAATGAAGTTGGTGAAAGAATTGAACGAAAGTAATCATGTATTGGAAGTACCTATTTTTAAACAGTTTCACAAGTTTGTTATTGGAAAAGGCGGTGTTAATATTCGTAAGGTTTGTATCAGATTTTTTTTGTACAACGCATTTTTTAAATACTTTTTATTTATATATAAATTATATGATACAGATTAGGGAAGAGACCCAAACAAAAATCGATTTGCCTGCAGAAGGAGAGAAGAGTGATGTTATAACAATCACCGGAAAAAAGGAAAACGTGGAAAAAGCTAAAGAAATGATACAAAAGATTCAGAATGAACTGGTAATTTGTTAATGATTTACACAAATACGCATGCAATAAACGCAACTAATTAAGAAATGTCTGATATAAAATATCATCCTAGGCTAACATCGTCACTGAAGAGATCACTATTCCACCCAAGTTTTACAATTCTCTTATTGGCACGGGAGGTAAACTGATACATTCTATTATGGAAGATTGTGGCGGCGTCACAATCAAATTCCCTACAGCAGAAAGTAAAAGCGATAAGGTAAACGAATAAAGAGATAATCATTATTTTCTCAAATTTGAAACTGTTATTGACAAATACGTACACACACACACACAGGTCAGTATCAGAGGTCCAAAGGACGATGTAGAGAAAGCAAAAGCGCAGCTTTTAGAACTAAGCAATGAAAAGCAACTGTCCAGTTTCTCGGCTGAAGTGCGTGCCAAAGTTCAACATCATAAATTCCTTATTGGAAAGAATGGTGCCAATATCAAGAAGGTAGAGTGCACGCAACGTATCTACATTGTATTTTCCAGATGGTATTTAAGAAGTATATTTTTAAATAATTCTTTCGTGTTATAGATTAGAGAATCCACAGGTGCACGAATTATGTTCCCGACGGAAGAAGATCAAGATAAGGAAGTGATTACGATTCTGGGCAAAAAAGAAGCGGTTGAAAAAGCTAAAGCCGATTTAGAAGCTACGATTAAAGAGATAGTACGCAGAGCATTATTTTCGAATAATCCGCGCAAGTATTTGTATAAATGTAATTATCTCTGATACCTTTCTTCGTACACTTTCAGGATAATATTATCGAAGGTGAAATTCGCATCGATCCTAAGCATCACAGACATTTCGTAGCGCGAAGAGGCGGTGTACTGCACCGAATTGCCGACGAATGTGGCGGTGTGCAGATTTCATTTCCACGGGCAGGCGTCGATAGCGATCGCGTTAGTCTGAAGGGCTCGCACGAATGCATAGAAGCGGCAAAACAACGAATGCGAGAAATCGTTCAGGAATTGGTACGTTTGTCGTTTGAATGCTTCAAACTTGTACGTAACATACTCACCATCTTCTCTTCTCAGGAATCTATGGTAACAGTGGAATGTGTAATACCTCAAAAACACCATCGCACGGTGATGGGTGCAAAGGGTCGCAAAGTGCAAAACATAACATCCGAGTATGACGTGCAAATCAAATTCCCCGACCGCGATGTGTACGGTTAGTATCAGTTTTTATTCTCTCTTATATGTAAATTAAATCACCAATTAAACTATTAATTTTATCAAATCTATAAAAACGTCGATTGTGCATATTCTAGATGAACATAAAGTACCGGAACAAGTTAATGGTGAAAATAGAGAAGGTGGGGAAACTATCCCAGCTTGCGATATAATTCGTATTACCGGACAACCTGAGAACGTTGCTGCTGCTAAGCAAGCTTTACTCGATCTTGTCCCTATTACGATTCAAGTACATATTTTTGTCTCGATCTGTTTTCGATTACAATTAGTTATAAAACCAGTCTTAAACGAGATTTTTTCCTTTGCACTTAGGTTGATGTACCGTTTGATTTCCATCGCTCGATAATCGGGCAGAAAGGTAAAGATGTGCGTGAATTAATGAATACATATGACGTACACATCATGCTTTCTCCAGCGGAGGAAAAACTGGATTATATCAAAGTAATTTTTTGTTGCGCAATGACTACTGGAGTTGATATAAAAATTTGTCCCACTTACTTATCTCTTTATTTCTTAGATTTCTGGAACGCCATCCTGCGTTCAAAGCGCCAAGGAAGCTATCCTTGAAAAATGTGAGGCTCTGAAAGCCGAACGAGAAGATCGTGCATTAAAATCCTTCGAGTTGAAAGTAAGTTCATTATATGATGAATTCATTTCAATAATTAAAGTTTAACATGTTCTAAAAAAGAATGACGAATATTTTCTACTAAAATGTTTTTTATCTCGTTAATCCCTATCTAAAAAAGGCATTGCGAGTTCATTGTTGTCGCTTTTCCGCGATGCCGATTGGCTCTCTCGAAACTCGATTTCGATCTTGTTGCGAGTCGATTCTCTTCGACTCGCGGTTATCAGGATAAGAGAGAATAATTTTGAATAAACCAGATTTTGAGATTTATTTAAAAGGAACGTGATATGGAATTAATGAAAATGATAGTGATAGTGACCAAAAGTGAAATTTAGTAAAAATGATAGAAAACTAAAAAGAAGAGAATAATGTTAGTTGGCGTGCGCAAAATAATATTTTAATGTTCTAATATAATGTGGAAGAACAATGGGGCGCGCTTTTGTTGTTCTAGTATGTATATAATACATAAATAATTTATTTAATTAGCTTGAAGTTGATCCGGAATATCATCCAAAAATTATTGGACGAAAGGGAGCAGTGATTAGTAAAATACGTAGTGATCACGACGTTCAAATTAATTTCCCGCGCAAGGGTGATCCCGAGGAACATGTTATTACAATAACGGGATATGAGAAGAACGCGTACAGTGCGCGAGACGATATCATGAAAATCGTCAACGAATTGGTGAGTTTGTTTCTATCAACATAGGAATATTCTTTTAATGGATCCCGTCCTTATTGAAACAAAATATCACAATTTATGAATTTTTGTCCCATCCACTTTAGAATGGTTTGAAGAAAGAGGAAGTGCAGATAAACGCTGCAGTCCATTCGCGTTTGATTGGTGCAAAGGGTCGAAATATTCGTAAGATAATGGATGAATTTAAAGTCGACATAAAGTTTCCAAGAAAAACCGACGCCGACCCTAATATTGTAACGATCGTGGGAGCAGAAGAGAACGTAGGTGATGCAAAGGAGCGTCTATTGAACTTAGAGGAGGAATACGTAAGTAACATCCGTTAAAAATTATTCATGATGTAAGTAGAAATCATTGTACAATTGCAATTGACAAAAAAATAATATGTACATATAACGATAGATGCAAGACGTGATAGAGAACGAATATCGTGAAAGTTTGCGCTCACCTCAACGCGACGACGGTAGCAGCGTCGGTGGCAGTGAGAACGATACCGGCTTCATCGTGAAGGGAGGACCATGGGAGCAGCAGCAGCCTCAGAGCGCACCGAACACAGCCAGCGTAGAAGAGTTCCCACAGTTCGCCGGTTACTCTCACGTACCCGTTGCAGCTCCGGACGGCCCTTGGGGAATTAAGCGTTAAAAAGTAAATCCAAAAAAATTCACGCTAAAAAAACAATTGATGGAACCTAATAAGCTTATGATGTAAGGTAACTTTCCTCTGACAAACGGTATGTAAAACATATGAGCAAACGTATGTTACACAACACATGCACAGATACACACACATACACACACGTATACGTACAATTACACGAAACGTCACACACGCATATGCACTTGTGTTGGGTGGTTCCCTGTTCCATTACTGACGTTGTTGCTGCATACGACCTGGCCATTCTATTGGACTCTGACACTGGTTTGCTACACACAACGTTCGACGACGATGTTTATATTTACAATTCATAATACCGATGTCCTATGTATCTGTAACTGTAATGCATGTTGTCCTGAGTCCGTTGCCATGTCACTCGGTCCAGACGGATGTACACACGTACGTCGTGCACGATTTAATCTCGTGGCTTTTATTTTTAATGATATGCTTTCCAGGTACAGATATGTTGTACTTAAGACTGTGGCTTCGTGGGAAATAATCAGGTCAGCATTTCGCGGGAAAGGACCGAGTCCACAGAAATTGCCAAGTAAAACAATTGTTCTTCTGTATTTTCTATTCTACAGAGATACAAATTGTATTCATAGACAATTTGTATTCTATGATAAAGAAAAAGAACCCATTTTTGTGTACATTAGTCCTTTCTTGTAAAATCTGGCCGATTTATTCGTGTATTATATTATTTTCACTGATAATCTTTGTACCGCGTATAGGTTGCTAACAGCCATACGTTTTTCGTTGACCTTAGCATAATAATTTTGTTAATTTATTTATATCTTTTTTGTACATACATCACATTTTCTCGTTGTTTTGTGCCACTTAAGTGAAGTGGTTTCTAAAACTACATCACAATTGTTGAAATTTGTATTGTAAAATTTTCACGAATCAAAAAAGAGGAAACGTAGAGGCTTTCTAAGAAAAAGTTTGTTCCCTAGGGATTATGCAATTTTTTATTACATTCGTTACTACAAACTCAACTTACGTCTCCGTGATTTACGACGTAAATGAGAGATTTGTCTGAATGATGCTTTGAACGCATACTTATCAATAACTGTAAGATCTAAACAAGAGATTTCCTATCGGAGATTAAAATCGATATAATCTTCGTGAATGAAATTTTTGATGATCTATAGAAACAGGAAAATGTGTTTTATGCCATTCGTCGCGTTTGAATTGTTCTCAGTAAATAGAGATCATTTTCTTGTATCTGTAACATCAAAATATGAATTGTGCTATTTTTAATCATCGTAAGCAATATATCAATGTTGTATGTTCAAGGAACACGATATTTAGAAGGCCTTGATCCCGCGCCGCTTACTCATTAAGATATACATACGTGAAATTGGCACTCTGCAGAGAATGGTCAAATTAAATTTGTTAAATAACGTTATGAGTAGTGAACGATACACGAATTCCTTTCGATAGCCGGCTTTATTTATTTCTTCTACTTTACCATTTTGTACACCGTTTGATGTGCAAGTCTTTGCATTCTACTATTTATGAGGCCAACTAGCTAAGAAAAGGATATTCAGTTCAAGTGCCTTGTCTATTTTCTTCGAGACAGCTCATTTCAATTGTTGGAGGAATGTGAATAATAGATTATACATATAAATAAAAAAATACAATATATACAAATATTGTATTTATCCGGGGTATCTGAAAATTACTGGATGATACTCTTGGAGAAGATTCACTCACTCAATATTAAATATTGCTTAGCAGCTAATAGTTACGAATTGAGATTCTTTTATAGCATCACTTTGAATGTCTAAAATTTGCGACAAATCAAGTTTTAACGATTCATTTTGAAATTACCAATGCTTCGCTATTTTCGATAAATAAAATATTGAACGATATATTTTATCTGTCTATAAAAAGTATCATCTGGTAATTTTAGGACAGCCTGTATATATACACATCACATGTAAACACATATATGGATATTGATAATAATTATTCTATACAATATGTAATATGTAATAGAAGAGAGAAAGAGGTAATAGGTACCAATGTCGGTACATTGATACACTACTATTATGTGAATGAAATGATAGGATTATCATGTATACAGAAATTCACTTATATTTTTTAGATTTACAGTAATTTTTATAAATCTACTTGGTACGGCGACCTATGTGTCATCTCCAGTGCATGGTAAATATAAGGAAAAGCCAGAATTAGTAAATTTTAATATGCTTAGTTTTGGCTAAGAATTTCATAGATGCTGTGCATGAATATAATTTTCTAATGAGTTATAATAAAATATATTGTAATTACATGAAACAATATTCTCTGTACACATATAAGTAAATAACGTTATAACACATGGATTATATTGTAACAATATACTACATTCATTGATCTATTTATCCATTTCTAGTACAAACATCCTTTTTCCTCTTCCACTCTCAGAAATTAAGTAAAATTGCAAATATATATATATACATAATAAATTTGTTCCTAATTATAAGATATATGCCAAAATTAGGCAGAGGTGTCGGTAAATATTGTCAATAATAATTTAATTGATTTCCGGATGGCTAATAAATTATTTATCGACACAGTACAAGCAGTCTTAAAAATTGTCACGGTTTGAAATATATCGACATACTATAATTCGTAAGCAAAGGTTGTGTTCTCAATACTACGTAGTTGTTTCACGAATCCATCATTAGGCTTAATACAACTTCTCGCCCTTTTCACTGTATCATAAGCCTCATCGTATGACAACTTCATAACAATCATTAAATAAGCGATAACAATACTAGCAGAACGAGAGACGCCAGCGTTACAATGCACAAGAATATTTTCTTTCAGACTCGTACGTATGATATCGACACATTTTTTTATCGATGGTAATATATTCGATTCCGGCAAATCTAACAAGTCACACGTGTGATACTGAATGTCGACATATTTCTCAGAAATATCGACACCTATACTCAAAATATGTCGTATTTCATATTTTTTTAATATATCATTGCAAACCGCTGGATCTTGGGAGCTGAGATACAATCCTGGTATTATATCAGCGACATGCAAATCAGGTTTTTCATCTACTACGAACGGCAAACTTTTTTCCAGTTTCTTTACTTGGCCATGTTCAACTTCATATTTATTGCCAAGTGGATCTGTTATCACTGTCTTACATGATTTTAATGACAATCTCTTTTTTGCGATAAGATCTCGTAAATCCATTATGCAAAAATTAATATTTCTTTAAATAACATCTGCATCAGAGAGGTCATCAAACAAAAAGAGATCAGGTACGTTACGCTACAACATGATAAAATTGATTTTATTTTATACATAGAATATTTTTTAATCAGTGCAATTCACAGTTTTTTAAACATGTTTTTCACCTTTTATTCTTTTAACTGCAGTCCTTGTTTTTGCTCTTCACACTGTAGTTCCTGCATTTGCTCTTCCGATTGTAATTTCTCCTCCTGCTCCAATATCGTACAGCGTCTTAATTCATCCGGATCATATTCTACGTTCAATAAATGTAAACCATTCGGT